TATGGTAATCACACAAGAAGAAGTTAAAGAATGGTTAAAAAATCAATCAGTAAAACAAAGAAGCGGTTATAAACAATATAATAGTTTTTCTGCTCCTTTTGCTCGTGCAATTTATTCTGTTGATTTGATGAATATGATTAGTCTAATGAAGGATACAAACACTTATAAAAAAGAATATCCATTATATGGTTTTGTTTGTATTGATAACTTTAGTAAAAAATGTCATGTAGTTCCAATGCAAAATAAAGACGGACCAACTGTATTAAATGCCTTAAAGGAATGTTTTAAGGTAATGGGTTATCCTCAATCAGTTTATAGTGATGATGAAGGGGCACTTAATGATAAAATATTACAAACATATTTGAAAGATAACGGAATTATACATAACATAACTTTAACTCATGCTAACGTAGCCGAGAGAATGATAAGAACATTAAAGAAGATGATAAGTGATAGATTACAAGTTCATAAACAAGGAGCTTGGACAATTATGTTAAAACCTGTATTAGATAAATATAATAAACAAATGGTTCACTCAACGACTGGTCTTACACCTAATGAATCACATAAAGACGATAACCACATAACAGTAAAGTCTAACTCAGTATTGAAAGAAAAATATTTAAGAAATTATCCAAATATCAGTGAAGGCGATACTGTAAAAATCTATACAAAAAGCGGTGGCAATTATACCAGTTTCAGAGAGTCTCGTTCAAAATGGAGTGAGAAGACTTATGAAGTTAAAAGTGTTGAACGCGATATGCAATTAAACAAGCGATATTTACTTGAAGGAAAAACAAAGCCATTTATGAGGCACGAGTTATTATTAGTTAATACATGATTTAAAGAAAAGACGAGATAATAGTAATATATGGTGGAAAATAAACATAATCAGAAGGATTATAAAACTGGTAAGATATACTGTATAAGAAACATTATAGATGATGACATATATGTAGGTTCAACTACCCAACCAATATGTAAAAGGTTCGCTTGTCATAAACAAAATATTAAACTAGAAGCGTATAGAAACCATGCCCTTTATATAAGAATGAAAGATAAAGGCATTGAGAACTTCTATATAGAGTTGTATGAAAATTACCCATGTGAAAATGTTGAACAGTTGAGAAAACGAGAAGGTGAAGTAATACGGGAAATCGGAACATTGAACAAACAAGTAGCTGGTAGAACGCAAAAAGAATACTGCAATGATAATAAAGAGTATATTAACAAAAGAAGGAATGAATATAACAAATCAAACTCTGAACGATTACAAGCACTTCGTCAAGACTATTATTATAGAGAGGAGAACCGCGAAAGGATATTAAATACTAAGAAACGATGGAGAGACAAACAACCAACTATACCATGTGAAAAGTGTGGTTGTTATATGAAACGGTATTCTTTGTTAAAGCATCAACAAACCGATAAATGTAAATCTTATGAAAAACTACTTAAAGAAAAAACGCCCTAGAATAGTAGGGAAAATGACCATATTTGATTATAGCAAGTGCCAACAGTGTAAGCATATGCGAAAACATCATAATAAGGAAACATTAAATAAAATATTACCAGAAGAAATAGGAAGTATTATACAGTCTTTTAACTGTTGTGATAGTTGTAATCGTCTTATCAACTTAGAATATGATTACCCATTTGATATACATGATAAAGGTTTACTAACAAATTTTGAAAAGCAACTTTATATATTAAAAGAAAGAGACAATTTTGATGTATATTTCGTTTATGATGATAGAGAAACGAAAAAACAAAAGTTAGTAAATATGTTTATGAAAAGTGATAACCCTTATAAGAAAGTAATTATATCTTTTATTAAGAACAGACGAACAAGGTTTTTTGATAAGTTTGATTTGATACTATCTTTTCTTCATAATAAGGAAACAATGAAACATGTTACTAGACGTGAAAATATTTTAATATTACATTATGACTATTACAGGAAATCATACCCGGATAAACTATTGTTTAAAAACATTATGTATGAGTTTCTTGTTAATTTTATAGGTAATGATATTAAGTATTTAAATCTTGATGAACTGCAAAAACATTTAAATGACATATTTGATAAAGAAGAAGATGAAAATTAAAGCATTCATAATAATATTGATATATAATATTATTATAAATGTAGACAAAAGCCACCGCAGAAACCTAGACATAATATTATATAGAATATTATACATAAACCATGACAGAAGCTGAATACAAATGAGAGGCGAAAAAACCTGAATAAGGTGACGATATTTTTTGATAAATATTTTAAAAAATTTTTGAAAAATGAGAATGAAACAGAGGAGTAATTACAAAAACGAAGTAGGAGATTAAATTTAAAGGAATGAAACAGATGCCGAAACAAAAAACATGAAAAAACTACTACAAGGAAAAAAGACCTAGAAAATTATAACGTTAGCGGTGCCTAAAACTGATTTTAAATTTTGTTAAAATGAATGAGATGACTGGGGCTGGGATTTTTTGAGAAATTGTTAAAAATTTGTGAAAATTTGTGTAAAAACGTTTGAGGAGCGTTAATGTGAAAATGCATAAGGTAATTCTGTATAAAATATGTTAAAAAATTTGCCAAAATTAATACAAAAAATTGATTAAGATGACAACAAAACGAAATATTATTAAAGTGAGCTATGTTGATAAAACGACATAGGGACCTATGTAGGGTCGGGGGGCAGAGCCCTACAACCAACCTTTTCATAATTTTTTGGGGGAGGGGGGGGGGGGGGGGGGGGGGGGTTGGGGCTGACATGTTGAGACCTGCTACCCCCTCCCCCCCCCCCCCCCTCCCCCCTCCCCTCTCTCTACTGCGTCCCGTCCCCACCCCCAACCCCAATCCCACTCACCATGCACATAACACACCCAAAACCAAGCGCGCGCTGGCACCATTTCCACAAACTTTACCACTTTGTCTATCCTCCTTGGAAGAACACGTCGAGTTGCTGTATTTCTCGCACACAACACAACTTCGTTCGCCGATGTTGTGAAAACGCTGGTAATTACAATGTCTTTTTGCGTCTGAAGTGTATGAGTTTATGCTTTGTGAACAAGTTGTATAGCATCACCCTTCCCTGTCTATGAACAAATGGTTTGTTCAGGGCACGTGAGCTGCTTACAGAAGTGCTGTATCTTCTCACGGTTCACAGGGTCTCGGCTGTACACAGACCGTCGCGATGTACGCATCAAGGACAGTCGTAAGGATGGAAGGCGGTTTAGGGTTTAGGGACCAGAAAGAACCCTCAAAGCCTTATTTTGACATTCCATCATAGTTTCACTCTTCAATAGAAGCTAAATTCTGGCAATATCCGACATTGCTACTGCCAGCACTACAGCAGTTTTTTGGGGAAATTGCGTTCTTTACTTCGAGATCAGCTTATGTGACTTATGTGACACTGATGTATTGTATGTATGTCATAATGCAAGGCTTCCGAGCCTTTGCTTCCTGGATATGACGATATACACTGTGTGTGCTGTTGTGTTTCGCTGATTTCCGCTATTCGCTTGCCTTGTGCTGTTGATTTCGACGAACGTGGTGATACATCCATATTTTGAAAAATTGTGGATCTCGACAAAAACGCATCTTCGACTGGGAAAACCATGATGCAGAGTGTATGCGAGTTGAGGACCGTGTTAATGTGAAAGTGGTGGGGTGGCAACTGGGAAACAACTGTTCAAGGGTCATCGCAACCTAAATCACATGAACCGAACAGAAAGCTATGTATTGCTGTGAAACTGGAAGGCCCTAGGCTCCAAATACGTAGCACTGCGTTACAATAGAAACTAAATCTAAAACACACTACTCACTGATTTGTGTACATACAGGCAGTGTGCACCCCTGACACAATGTGTGTTGTAGCACTGCATAAAACATACTATGTATGTACATGCTCCCAGTTTGCAGCAGTAAATTCCTGCGATTGTCAGCATTGTTGTATACTGTTGTGAAGCCCCGCATAGGTAGGTAATACTGCAATCTTCAAACTGGGAAGAAAGTGGAAACTCACGGACATGTGCCAACTCAACACACAAGGAAATCAGAACACGGCGGGCGACACGGCTCCAAAGATTTTCGAGAGTCCAAGTTGTGGAAACAAATGCACGGTGCGTGAAATACTTTGTCTTCTTTCGTTTCGCTCGGATGTGGCCGGGTGTCCACTGCGTACAGGGTGCCATAATTAGCGATTATTATTCGTACCATGACTCATGCAAGCACATAAACAGTGCATGTGCTCATGTAAGTTTAGCTGTGGAATATATACATGTGCACGTGTATTCGAGTGTATGCATTTTATATGTTCATAGGCCCTCATGGCCTTTTACAAGCAATTGCAACCACACACACACATGTATAAATACATATATATATATATACATACGTACGTACATATATGCACATGCATAGGTGCTTCGTATAATGCTAAAACGCCAAAGACGCCCAAAAACATAAAATGCAAAACCCAGGCCCCATGACAGCCCGCTCTCAACCCCTAACCCCTAAACCCTAAACCCCTAAACCCCTAAACCCTGAACCCCTAAACCCTGAACCCCTAACCCCTAAACCCCTAACCCCTAAACCCCTAAACCCTAAACCCTAAAGCCCCTAGGCCAGAAACCCCTACACCCTAAACCCCTAACCCCTAAACCCTAAACCCTAAAGCCCCTAAACCCGAAACCCTTAAACCCTAAACCCCTAAACCCCTAAACCCTAAACCCTAAAGCCCCTAAACCCGAAACCCCTAAACCCTAAACCCCTAAACCCTAAACCCCTAAACCCCTAAACCCTAAACCCTAAACCCCTAAACCCTAAACCCCTAAACCCTAAACCCCTAAACCCCTAAACCCTAAACCCGAAACCCCTAAACCCTAAACCCCTAAACCCGAAACCCCTAAACCCTAAACCCCTAAACCCTGAACCCCTAACCCCTAAACCCTAAAGCCCCTAAGCCAGAAACCGGAGACCACCCGAGACCGGCCTGGCAGCAGATTTCTCGCTGGCCGAACGCTTGGGCGCGGGCTTCGGCGCTGAGGCCTCCGGGATCTTATGACTGAAGCCCTGAGTACCAATACAGGGGCCTTAAAATGGTTCCTAATTATATAAGTATAGTATATTAGGGTTATATACTATAAGGGCTATTAAAGATTTAGTATAGTTGATTACCACTACTATTTTGGGGCTTAATATAAGTATTGTATACACGGGCCCAAAAGCCCTATTCTAATTATTACGGAGCCTTGAGTACTGGTCGTCGAGGTGTCGTCGTCGAAGTAGTAGTACTACAATGTAGTAGTAGTAGTAGTAGTAGTAGTAGTAGTAGTAGTAGTCGTAGTCGTAGTCGTAGTCGTAGTCGTCGTCGTCGTCGTCGCAACAGTGGCAGTAACACTAGCAGCAGTCTGTCGCGACTACGCGGTAAATATGCTCCGCTAAACCCAAGGCCTTTAGGGACTCAAACTGCTGCCACGCAGCACCATCACCGAATGGAGATAAGGGTGCTTCAAAACATCAGAAACCTTGATGCAGACAAGTGACCCCTAGTTGTAAGAACCCTGCAAATCTACCACTGCGATTTCACATATGGCACATATGGGTAGGTCTCACCCTTAGGGACCCTTTTTAGGTAACCCAAATAGTGAGGCACCCTTCTAAAACGGACTCTGAAAGGGACCCTGATCTAGAGAACTACTCAGATGGCTCAAAGGTCGAAAACATGTGGGCCTTTTTGGCTGCCGGCGCCGCTTTTGGTGTCGCCTTGGGCCTGCTCCGAATCATCGGGGCCGAGGTCGTGGTGGTTACTGATGCAAAAGATCCGGAAGGGGATCCCAGTGCTTCAGATAAACCATGACACAGACTACCTGGAATTTAAGGTGTAGGTTTCAGGGCTTGGGGTTTAGGGTGTAGCTCACTGTTAGAACACGTGAAGAACAACAACTTCGACAGAACTGCCGCGCAATGAAAAGGCTGCAGGTTCGAAAGGGATGCATCACCAGCGCCTTGATGGTAGCTCGGCAGTTATTGCCGCACACATGCCACAAGCAGCTGGTAACGACCCTAAGTGTCATGTTGTAACGAAGAGCTGGCCTGAGCAGACTCTGGGATTGTTGTCTGCCGCAAACTCAAACAAATTATAAATATAAATATATATAAATATAAATATAAATAAATATATATATATATATATATATACAATATAGTATATATAATATGGTATATGTATAGAATATAGGCCTCCAAGGGAAAGATGCTGTAGTTGCGGGTGCCCTGCAAGTAGTCCGGAACATTGTACTGCGTTACGGACCGCAGGCGGGCCATGGTTCCCAAGAGACGCCACGGTTTGAAGAGGGTTTTCATTCAGGGGCAGGGGATGCATGGCATAGGGTGCCATTTTGGCATGAAGGCAAGGCAAATCCGAGAAGCTAGCCCACAGCCTCAAAACCTAAAGCCAAATCTCCCCATGCAGAAGTCTTGCATCTGAATCCTGCAGCTGTCCCTCATAGACTCATAGTGTCCGAGACAAAAATCCTGCGCACACTGGCGTTTTGGCACACGATTGTTGCAAAGAGGGCTGCTTCTCTGAGTCTGCATGAGCAATACAACACAACACAAACCCATGAAGACACGACACTGACAGACCTCGGTCAGGACTCACGCTATGTAATGAACATCGAACTCAGATGATAATGTAGATGATGGTGGTTCCTCACTTCCCAACACCAAAGGGGGTAGCCTCGGCGCAGGCAAAGACTGTGTCGACTGCGGTGTCGAGCCGGGAGTGCGTCCTCCAAAGAGAACGGGGCTCAAGTTCTCCGGTGCTTTCAGCAGACAGCTTCAAACTTCTGGTGATTCTGGTGCTCTTCTCAGCAAACGTGGCTACAAGCTCGCCGAAACCCAACTCGTATCATGAGAAGGTTATAGGCACTCGTGAGCAGAGCATCCCTGATCTCTAATTATCGCGAGTTTGGAGCTAGCGGGTGGTGGGGGTGATGGTGGTACTCGCCATCGCTGTATGGTAGGAGGGGTAGGAGGAAGACAAGGATAAGGAGGAGGAGCAGGAGGAAAAGAGGAGCAGGAGCGGCAGCGGTAGCAGTAGTTCTAGTCGTGTCGTAGTCAAGTCATCGCAGTCGTACTTGCAGGAGGAGGAGTCGTAGTAGTCGTCAACTTCAGCAGCGGCAGCGTTGACGGCAGCACCACACTGTGAGTATGATGAGCCGCCAATGCCACTACTACAAATTGCTACTCAACTCAAGTCGTGACTGAATAACTCACTGCCACTACCAGCACCATGGCTCTTTCCGACTCCGGCCCTGCTGCCACTGTTGTTGCTTGAAATAGATGACATTGGATATGCTGCTGCAACCACTCTGCCCGTTTTCAATCTTGGCGTCGCCTGATCGCCTTTGCACAGCTGTTAACACAAGTGTAGCTGCCCCCGAAAAGGCCAGTCGGACAGGCGGGAGCGACCGACAAACAGCATCCAAAATACGTATCTACCCAGATGCTGACATGACTGCACGCGCGCACGACATGCAACCACAGAGTTGTTTGAAGTTTACTTGCGCAGCTGGGATGCAACGGGACAGCACAGCACGGCCGTTCGCTGAAACGAGTGAAACGTGCTTCCATACTACTCGGAGACACAAGCTGTAGAACATGATCAGGAAAACCATACTAATGATGTGGTGCTGATGTTCATAACTAATCCAATGGTCATGCTCAGCATAACAATCTTCCGCTGTTTGCTCTTCATCGCCATTGTCGTCATCCGAATTCCGCATGCACTACAATATCAACATCATACTCATAACCAGCATCTGCGCCATCATCAAAGTCGATGGCAGTATCACCATCGTCATGGTCATCCACATCATCACTACAGTCATTGTACTCACGTTCGCCGTTCTTACCATGGTTTTGTGACGAGCTGAAAGTTTCTGATCGCCAGCAAGACCAGGTGTTGCAATCAACGGAGAAGAACCCAAAGGGTCCAAGTACCCACGTAACTGGTAGTCTCGGAACCTCTGGAAGGCCAAACTATGATATTAGCCTGGACCCATTGATCATGCACAGAAGGGGTTCCTTCAAGGATCTGTTTGAAGGGCCGTTTAAAGACATGAGCCTTATAATATCAATATACAAATATACTATTAGTCAGAACAGGGTTCCGTTAGGGGCAGCACAGCTCCACATCTCAAAGTCCTCGCGAAGGTGGAGTTCGCGCATTGCCTCGACCGGCCTTGGTCGGAGGCAGTCTGGCAACAAAAACCCGTAACACCCAATTCATCGGGGATATGCTTACATTAAGGGTCTCGATGTCCGGTCTAGGTGTAAGATTCAGCTTCATAGAACTTTAAACTGTGTGGACCAACGCAGCCCGCTGATGCCACTTGCAATGCTTCAAAGCTAGATCCAGGATTTCCTGCAAGCCAACAGCCTGCATCTATGTCAAAGGGTTTTGTCGCATGCACAGATATAAACATTGCTGCTCGGGTGTTCTTGTGGGGACTTTGCGCTTCTTGAGGTTGTGGTCTCCTTGGCATCGAATACCGCGGACATGGAGAGAGGCAGGATGACCATAGCTTCGAGAGCCGCAGTCGGTCCGAACCCTGAAATCGCAAGGTCCCTCGTCGCTCTGCTTCTAAACACGCATGCACTTTAAGTGCGGTAAATTTTCATGAACCCTGAGGCCCCCTCAACGTGAAACGCACCCAGGCATATTTTCCAGCGCGAGCGAACACGTCAAACAATCAGCTCGCCAGGAGGTACCTTGGCGGTCCGGTCGTGAACAACAAATTTTGGAGAACAGGCCCTGGCCCTTTTCATTTACTCTACGTTATCTGCAGTGCGCTTACATGAAACGATTTAGGGCGCGAGCGTCTGAGTGTGTTTCGCAGGGCGAAAAGTCGACAATGTAGCTCCGATTTCAAGCGAGGCCCAGATATCCCATATTCCCTCTGTGCAAGTGCAGCTCTTCAAAAAGCTGTTCTTTTGACCCTAAACCCTAAACCCTATTCTCCTCTCCGGCACGAGCCGAGGGTCGCCGATTACAGTCGCGCACCCTTCGGTTCACAAGACACGAGATGGAGAAAACTCGAATATCAAACTTATAGTTGTGCACTATGCGTCCTTCGCATCACGCCGGCAGCGTTTAAAGGACCGACATTGCAGCGAGGAGAAAAGCAAAGAATCGTTGACATCCAGAAGGCGCCTATGATCCCAGGTTTGCAAAGGAGCTGCGATCGACGCTGTCACCAAAGACCATGGCTTCCTGGGCTGCAATGCAAGAGCGATCTTCCATCTGTGTAAACTAGGGGCCCTAGGGGCCTTAATAATCAGAATAGGGTTTTGGGGCCATTATACTATAATTCTGATAAGGAGCCCCCAAAATAGTATAATTATAGTATAGGTAATTATAAGGCCTCGATATTACCACTGGCAGTCCATCCTTGTTTAGGGGCGAGCATCTGTTCTTGTCGGTTTGCCGTGCACAGGATCCTCTTGCAACAGCTCCGAACTCCAGAAGCTCAAAGCAAACTCCCCGAATCCTCCAAAGACAGACCGAGGGACAGCTCCATCGCCACGGTGAGGAAGCCGTCCGAGCAGCGGGGAGCCGCGACGAAGGGTTGGGGTGCAACCTTCCTCGCAACAGGAAAGGGTCGAAGCTTCTTGGGGCTGTTCGGATATACGAGCATCTTCCTGCTTGCATTGGGGAAAGCTGCTCTGCAAAAGCCAAACTCGAGCCCGACCCTCCCGAAACTAAAGCTCACAGAAAGAGATCTCAGCACTTCTTGCTGGAACGTCCGGCTCTGGACAATTGACCCCTGGGGTTGAGGGCTTGTCCTTTCAGGTTGTAGGGTTCTTGGTTCCCGGCCTACAGAGATATAACCGCTTGATAGAGTGACTGACCGTACATTGATGTGTCAAAGGATGTGTTCTCCCTCTCTCTCGCTCTCTCCGCCTATCCAGTGACCCGATTACTCATCTCCCACACGTGCAGAAAGGCAAAGGGCCCATCGTGTTCTGTATCATGAGGCGATAGACTCAGCTGGTAAGCAAGCAAGGTTTGGTCCCAGCGTCTGTGGCTCCCATGGAGGATTTACGTCGAGCAAGTTGGGAGCAGTGAGGACGACTGCGTGAACGGCAGGTAGCGGCCAAGACCACCTGACAGGGGGGGGAGAACCGCCCTCGTTACGGAACACGAACACATGCCTCAATCACCTACGATAGGGGCCCTATTAGTTAGAATCGCGGTTTGGGGCCCATTTTTTTTAACAAGTATAATAAGGAACCCCCCAAAACAGTATTGACTATGATTTCAAGCTTCTAAGGTGAGGCAGAATGTGAAGCAAACCTGGGAGCCACAAGGCGAGCCATCGCGTGTAGGGTTTAGGGTATAGCCTTCAGCGAAGCTTCCGTTGTGTCTTGATTCGATTCGGCAGGCTGCTAACGTGGCTCTTTGCTTGTCTATGTCCGGCAGCTGCTTGAGATCCGTCTTTGCGCCTGCAAGCGCATGATTCTCTTCTTGAGCTGCACGGTGAATCCGTGAGGTTTGCACTCGTTGGTGTTGTTTCGGCTGTGCCAATGCTTGTTGCGATTGTGTTGCCTGCTACTAGTACTAGTACACCTCCAGTCATCGCAATTTCGGTGAGCGCTTCTTCTTTGGAAATAAAAAATACCCAGCTCTGTAAGCCGACGATATTGAGCCAGAGCCGAGTTCGGGGGTGGTGGTGCACGACAAATGGCAAGCAAACAGCAAACACAATCAAAGGCTTTCGGGTCAATACATTAAATCATGTAATGTTTAACGGTGGAGAAGGCTTGTCGAAGGGAGCAGCTACCCAGAAAGCATGACGAAAGCCGAAACAGCACAAATAAAAGCGACACCACCCAAGTTGCGGAACAAAACACGCTTCTTACCTACACTGCTACTGCTACTCTCCTTGTAAGAAGACACCGTGCCTATTTTTGCAGAAGCAGCCGGGCCTCAATCGCACCGTGAGGTTGGCCTGCATCGCGTCCCAATTTACCACGCGAAGTCCTATGCTTTCGTTGTGCGACCTCGGATGCAGGCAATGTAGTTCCAACATCAAACAAAGCAGTACTACCTGTCCCTGTCATGCACGATTACGTAGTTTTGCTGATAGTACTCTTGGTGGCTTGGGCAGCACTGTGAAGCAAACCAGGTAAAGATGCGGCTGCGAAGGAATCGCGTTGGCCAGTGCCGCAGCTGCGGTTGAAGCAGCGACAGCAAATCTTTCTGGTTTACTCTTAGGGATCTATAGTAGGAAGGCTCATTCCGTAGCGATAAAGCGAGAAGAGCAGCCAGGATGCTGATACGCTCCAACGTCCACCTTGCCAGCCGCGGAACTTTTGGACACAGCCAGCGGGATGTAGAAATCCTGCAGAGCTTCACAGGCGCGCGGGCGAGCAGTTGAACCCAAACCGTCTGTCTAGAAACTTACGATTCGAGCGCACTGACCAAAGCACCAGGTAAGCAAGAGAGCTCGGGGTCGATTGCATCAGCGAGAGAAGCACGGAGTGCAGTCGTTCGCGGCTATAATCGTACGGACAGTAGCGAGTGATGGTGTTCTGGATTAGGAAAGTAAAGCTTTACAGGACAACTTCTGCAGGGACAGCGGGTTGACAAGAGCGGGGCTTCCTCTTTTTGATTATGTACTCGGACCTCCCAACAGCCCGCGATCCTCATGGGCTCGCGCACGTAAACGCCGTGCATCGCGTTGTAGGCTGGACGTTGCACGTAGTAGCTTGTAGAGAGTCATAAAGCCGGTTAAGAGCCATCTCCGGCCAAGGCTGCAAAAAAGATACTGGCGTTCTCTCGATCCCACCACTGCTTGGCCGCATAGCGAACATCGCGACAAGAAGCTTGATACAGACAAACGAAAGTCAGAGTCACCCCCTCAAAGCACAGGCGCTGCCTTTGCATGCTGCGACAGCATTGCTTGCGACCAGCCATAAGGAGTTAGCCATACCTGCACCAAGGTTGATGCGGCTTCAGGACCCAGGGCGAGTTCAGGGGGCTGTACCTGCAGACTTGAAACATGGTTAGAGGTTGCGCTGGGCTTATCTGTGGCAACTTTGTGGCTCAGGAATCCAGCTCCGCGAGCACCACTCTCATCTTGAGCCAATCGCGATGCTTCGCAGCCTAGAAACCTGGTCCACAACAACTGCACGTCGTACGGTCACATGACGCCCCATACCCTGCCTTGTCCGGTGTCATCATGATCTGCCCCTGCAAATCACGACAAGATGGCTACAGGGTGAAGAAGCAAAGGTTAGTTTCTGGTGGCGAAGCAGTTGACTTGATTCGAAAAGACGCTTGCGCCTCACAAGCCAAGACCACCCATGCACGAAACCGCAAGGCCCTGACCAGCCGTCAACCCGGCACAACAACCGTCACTGTCACTACCTCCGCCACCGCCACCGCCACAACGACGATGACTGCTTGGAAGACTCATTGGAGGACCGGTGCCCCCATAACCCTTCTAGGCCTGAGAGGGGGCTGCAAAAAACTCGAATGTGGCAAGATATGATATACGACACTACGATTTCAGATACTGTGCTATACTGTAATATGATATCATACATCATAAATTATAATGTACTGTACTATATCAGAACCCAGCAAGTGCAGTCCGATGCCCTCCTGGTCCCAGCCGTTGTCGTTTTGGGTGAAGACCTGCAGGCCATTGGCGGCGGCGTCGAGCTGGAAAAATGCTCCTCGCATGCAGTGCTTATGCGGTATAGGGGCTTTCATAGTCGGATTAGGATGTTAGGAAGTTCGGGATACATGTATGTGTATATATATATATATATATAGATAGATAGTGTATAATCATACGCATAAACTGGAGTCCTTATGGTGAACCTGGTATCAAGCCACTATAGTAACCTTTATACTTGTAACCCATCTTGTAGTAACCCATGCTCGGCCCTCAGGAAGGTTTCAACAGCAACAGAAAAGCATCTGAGGGTCTGACTCGCTTCCAGGTTTACGGCGTAGGGTTTGGAGTTTTGTCAGGTTCTCAGTTTCGAGGCTGTTAGTGAAGGACTCAAGACTTCAGGATTTACAACTTAGCCGATTCCCAGTAGGAATGGCGGATCACGGGTGGCTCAACCCTCAGGATACCAGCTGGTAAAGGAAGTACACTTGTTTCTCAAACCTGGGACTACAAACTCGGCTTGATTATGGATGCCGGAAAACAAGTTTCTATGCCG